GCAGCACATGCAGCGAGCACCGGTGACGGCCCGGGCTGGGGCTCCCGGGAGCGCTGGGCTGGGGGCTGCGAGGACCCGGCTTTTCCTCCTTGTTGGGGGTGGCTTCCTCCTCCTCCTCCTCTTCCTCCTTCCTCGGGCCTTCCTTTCTTCTCCTCCCAATGCCTTTCCTCATCTCTACGATGCCCCTTTTCTTTCCCTCCTCTGCTCCCCCCCAAAACATTCTTAGGGCAGGACCTATTGAGAAACAGCTGTGGAGCAGGAATCAGGAGGCGTCCTCCTCTCCAGGCTGAAGTCGTGCTGCTGAGAGAAGGCTGCGTGAGGCGTGAGGCGTGGCCCGGCAAACCAGGGCTCCCCGGACCCTGTTCAGCCAGAGACTTGCCAGACCGGCACAGCCTCCAATTCTGAGCCCAGGCAGCCAGCACAGTCCACCCTCACCCTCCGTTTTAGCTAGCACTGGGGTAGGTGGATAGCAACAGGTAAACTCTGCATGAAGGACAAATGCAGTGGAGTCTAATATCTAAGTCCTTTGCCACTTAGGATGCTATTGAACTGTAGTAGCAGCTTAAAAACTTGCTCAAGGCGCCTTCCCTTGAGCCCAGCACCGTTTGCCAGTAGGCAGTCAGCCTTCACAGCCCGCCAGGCACAGAGCCTCCCTGTGGGGTGATATCTGCCCCATCCTCCTGGCTGCCATCTGAGGTTGCTTGGGACCCAGGCAATATAAAACGTGCTAAGCTCTGTTGAACCCTAGGCAGTAGGTTTAGTGTTATTCCTATTTCCAGATTATGAAAATGAGGCTCAGCAAGTTTAATTTGCTGGAGGTCAGCTTGGAGGTGAGTGGCTGAGCTGGGATTTTTCTGTCCATCTGACTGTAGGGCTTTATCCACTACATATAAGGCCACCTAAGAAAGCAGTCCGGAGCCCACATAAATAACCTAACTTGAGAGTTTACAAATGAGGCAAAAATAAAATATTCTGTCACATACCTTTAAAATTAAGAACCAGGAATATAACATGGCATTAAAAATATAGAAAAAATTTTAAGGGCAATTTCAATGCTCTATGATGGCCATTCAAGGAAAAGAGAGGCTAGGGGACTGTTGTAAGGGAAAGGGGAGACAGAAAGACAGACACAGACACAGGCACTGTTCCCTCCTACTTCTGACATGAACCTGCACTGGGGAGAGGAGCATAATTTAGCTGGTTCAGTGTGGCTCTCTGAGGTCAAGGACTGTGGCTTGCTTACTCCTCTCTGTATCCTCAGAGCTAGGGCAAGCCTGGCACGGAGTGGACATTCGTAAAGGTGTGCAGAAGACATGGTTCGAGAAAGAGATTGGAGCAAAATAGATGAGTTGTGAAAAACATAAGAGGAAAAAGACAACTTCAGAACTGGTGAGACAGACTTGTGAAGAGAGACACTAAATTAAAGAGACAGCCAGCAGGACTTCAGGGATAAAATGATACAAAGACCAATAAAAATACCAACACTTGTGATTTCTGGAACTAAGCAAGATGATTCTAAAGTTCACATGAAAAATACACAAATAAGAATAGTCAGAAAAACTCCGGGGACAAAAAGATAAGTAGGACTGGCCCTACAACTGTTTTGTTGTATTATAAAACATCAATAATTAAAACTATGGCACTGGCACAGATAGATTAAAGATAGAGAATGGAAAGCCCAGAAATAGACCTTAATATCTATAGGGCTTTAGTAAATAATAAGATAGCATCTCAGGCAATGGGAAAAAGAGGAACTAATCAATAAATGGTGTTAGCTATCTGGAAGAAAATAAAATTAGATCCATTCTCACATTATATACAAAAAGAGAAATTCAAAAAAGATAAAAAATTCAAATGTGTGATATGAAACCATAAAAGTGCTAGAAGAAAATAATACAGAAATCCTTCATGACATCAAGGGGGAAAGCCTTGCTTACTCAGAATCAAAGACATCAACTGGGCAACTTCTATCTGAAAGGCAAACGTCTCAACCCCTTCCTCCTCCATCGGTTGGTTGTGAGTCTGGGTTTCCTCAGGCATCTCAGCGAAGGGACCACATGGACTCCAAAATAATGCAGCACCAGGACGCAGAACCAACTAGCCAACTATTTCTTAATCTTTACACATTTATCACCTTTATAAAACTAAAAATTTTATTTTATAGTGAGAAAGGGAAAGGATACTATCAAAAAAGAGAAAAGACATCCCACAGAATGGGAGAAAGTATTTGCAAATCTTATATCTGATAAAGGGCCAGTCATCTAGAACATATAAAGAACAACTCAATAATAAAACATTTTTTTAAATAGGCAAAGGATTTGAATAGACATTTCTCCAAAGAAGGCAAACAAATGGCTATCAAGGCCAAAGAAAAATGTTCAACATAATTTGCCATTTGGGAAATACAAATTTAAATCTCAAACAGACTGACAAATTACCAGCAAGAAGACTGGGGAGGGGTTGTGGGGTGAGGTAAAAAATCAAAAATAGAAAAAGTATAAAAAATTCAAATGTGTGATATGAAACCATAAAAGTGCTAGAAGAAAATAATACAGAAATCCTTCATGACATCAAGGGGGAAAGCCTTGCTTACTCAGAATCAAAATCCAGAAGCCATAAAAGTACACACAGGCACATGTCCAAAATCTGCATGGCCAATGTCATGAGCAAGGTCAAAGACAGGTGACAAACTAAGGGGGCGGGGGGAATAGCACTCACACAGAGATAAAGGGCTAACTTTACTAATATAGGGAGTGCCTAAAAATAGACCCAAAAAAAGACTCATAGCCCAACAGGTAAGTGGACAAAAGATAATATGGACAGTCCACAGAAAAGGAAATACAGATCTCTATTAAACATAGAAAAAGCTGCTCAACCTCACTCGTAATTAGAGAAAGAAAATAAGCAAAATAACACTACACTGAAATACATTTGCCTGTCCCTTGGCAAAGACCCAAAGTCTGATTACACTCTGTTGGGAGTATGGGAGGTACAGGCCTCTTGTACCTCTTGTAGTGTGCTGGTCGGGATATATATCAGTATAATCCCTACAGGAACAATTTGGTAATGTACTTAAACAAATTCAAAAGGACGTTTGTATATACTCATTTCCTGCAGCATTGTTTGTAATGGTAAAAGACTGGGAAGAACCTGCTCTGGCCGGTTTAGCTTAGCTGGTTGGAACGTCAAAAGGTGGTGGGTTTAATTCCCAGTCGGAGCACATATCCAGGTTGTGGGTTCTATCCCTGATCAGAGCCAATCAATGTTTCTCTCTTGCATCGATGTGTGTTTTTTTTCTCTCCGTCTCTCTTTCTCTCTCCACCCACCTCTCTCCCTTCCTCTCTCTCTCTAAAAAAAAAAAATCAATTAAAAAAGCACTGGGAAGAACCTAAGTGTCTATCAAGAGGGGACTCGGCCAATAAAGTGTGATGTATCCATAGAGTGCAATACTTCAGTGAAAAACAAAACTGAAGAAGCTTTATAGGTACAGATATGGAAGATCTTAAAATATATTAAGTGAAGAAAGCAAGAAGAACGGTGCATATAAAATGCTACCTTTGGTGTAAAGAGGGGGAAATATCTATAGGGCTTTAGATCCATTCTCACATTATATACAAAAAGAGAAATTCAAAAAAGATAAAAAATTCAAATGTGTGATATGAAACCATAAAAGTACTAGAAGAAAATAATACAGAAATCCTTCATGACATCAAGGGGGAAAGCTTGTACATACACACATAAGAGTCTCTAGAAGAATATATAAAAAATGAGTTACAGAGTTCATCAGTGATGGGTGGAGGTGGGGAACAGGGCAGGTGGGAAGGCACACTGCTTGGGGGCCAAATTGACCCCATCACCTTGATTTTGTAACTGAAGTGTTACTGAAACAGAGCCATGCCCAACCTCTCCTTCCCCTAAAGCTCTGGCAATTATACTATGAAACAACAAAACAGACTGGGAGAGGCTGTAAGCACCTAAGGAAGGGCTCCTTGGGAAGGAGAAGGGTGAAGGGGTGGCATGGGCTTTGGGGTGTGACAGGCTCCTGTTGGAATCCTGGCTGTATCACTCACAGGCCCTGGGACCCTGCGGATCACTCGGATCACTCGGTGGGAGCTTTGACTTCCTGTGCCGTGGGGTAGGAACACCAGCTGAGAGAGTCATAAAACTGAGAGAGAAGAGTGAACATGTAAAGAGCACCTCATATGGGCCTGGTGCACAGCAGGTACACATTGATTGGCTCAATAAGTGGGAGCTGTTATTATTTTTCCCGTTAGGGCACGACAGGTTCGTCGGGAAATCTAACCACCATGTATAACATCGTCCTTATGGGAAAATGTATTTTAAGTTCTTAACACTGGGAGTACAGCCCAGTGAACTGGGAGGACTGATCAGGGAGAGGAGTCTCAGGCTTCTCTATTTGTTAGTTTGGCCCAACAGGTAATGAAATGGGAGTTCAGGAAGGGAAATGGGCTTAAGGGATTGCAGGTGCCCACCCTGAAAGCAGGAGGCAAAGCCAAGTCAGCATTTGGCTAGGCCACCGGACGTGGGCTTGGCAGAGGGTGCCTGTTTCTGCTACCAGGAAAAAAATAGCCTCTTCCCAGCTAGACTTGAGCTCAGCAGGACAGGAAAAGCTGTGATAATTTAAAGGAAAAGCTGTGATAATCCATCTCCACTGGAGCTCAGTAAAGCGAATTCCTCTTCCCAACAACACAAGCTCTCCTGCCAGAGTGAGCGCCCACAGCACGGGCTGTGGGGAGAGCAAGAGTGCCTGCCCCACAGCGAGTGCTCTGGGCTTCACAGAGCTTATTTCAACTCTGGAAACACCTGTCCTGAGGAGCCTCAGTGCTACCCCGGGGTCTGCAGATGGAGCAAATCTGCACCACACCTCCTGCTCCTATGCCCAGGGCACTCGAGCCCCTCCCCCCGACTCTCCCCAGGCCTCTCCTTTCTGGACTGTGCTCTCTGCTGACTTCCCGCAACCCTTTGCCTTCAAACATCCCCTGTCCAGTGTCTCTCATGTTCCAGTCCTGCTCTTAGCGAATAAAACATGATCTGGAGTCAGGACCTGGGTTTTAGTCTGGCCACTAACTTTGCACAGATCATTTCCTTTTTCTGGGTTTCAGGCTCCTCAAAATGAGTAAGAGTTGATCTAGATCCTCAAACTTCTCCACGAAGCACCCTGCAGACAGCGGAGAATGAGCACGCAGGAGTCTGAACACTCGGTTCTAAGAGGCCCAATGCCAGCTCCACAGTTCTTTGCAATCTTATTCTTTCATTTTTATTTATCATTATTTTTTTTAATATATTTTTATTGATTTTACAGAGAGGAAGGGTGAGGGATAGAGAGTTGGAAACATCAATGAGAGAAACATCGAACAGCTGCCTCCTGCATGACCCCTACTGGGGATCAAGCCCACAAACAAGATACGTGCCCTCGGCCGGAATTGAACCTGGGGCCCTTCAAGTCCACAGGCTGATGCTCTATCCACTGAGCAAAACTGGTTAGGGCTTATTCTTTCATTTTTAAGGAATTCATGCGAATTTTGCATGCCACCCCATGATACATCTGTGTTCTAATGTGAATGCAATAGGTTCCCCCTAATTCTTCAAGTAAACTTGATTTTCCTGGAAGTTAAATAATCATGTTTATCCTGAGGCCACATGTGATATGACCACACACACTGGGTGCCTATCCCAGTGTGTGAGCCATGGGGCAAGGGGTGCTTTAAGAGTGCCTCTGGGGCAGACATGGGGAATAGTATTCCTTTCTAATGTGCCCCAGGTGGCATTTTAACATAGGATCTGGATCTAGTGTCTTAACCGTAAGGAGTGATTCTAATGGAATTTTAGATACAGCAGCAGAGAGGAACTGGAACATCGGTGCCATGATCCTCAGTCACTTTATGTAGGTGACCTTCCACTTATCCTAAGGCTAAAATAAGACCAGTAAATAATCCTCATCACCAGGCAGCCAGCCTTCCTCATGAAACACCTTTCCCTCTTAGGTTCTTCCAAACTCCCTGAAATATACCAGAGCAGGCCTCACTGCCCTTTAAAATCAAGGAGCAAGGTTCCATGAGGCTCAGCATTAGGGCCCACAGATCCAGGGACTAGGAGATACATAGACAGACAGACAGAGAAATACACTTACCATAGAGCCCAGCAGAAGCTCCCTGCAGGCTGGGACACTGAGTTCTGGCCCAGGGAGAAGCTCTGTGCCGGTCAGAAAGCCCTTGGGCACCTTGAAAGGAACACCGTCAAGGGCACTCATTCTGTCAGAGGACAGTGGGGATGGCTGAGGCAGGCTGCCGATGGCAGCGGGAGAGTGTAGTCCTGAGGACCAGGCTCAGGCCTCAGATGGCCTAGGTGCTCTCCTGTGTGGTGACTTAGCAGAGTCCCACACAGCCAAGAAGGAAAGGTAATGTGGCCAGTGCTGCATAAGGGAGGAAATGGATAAAAACAAGACCATTCAAACTGACAGGGATTGACTATTTCATGTTTAAGTCTTATACTAGGGCATTGTTGACCAAAACAAGGTCTAGAACTCTAGTTCTAAAGTCTTGCATCAAAAGAGTTTTCACCCCCAAAAAAGTGTATAGTTCTTGTAAACCTAATAAATATCAAAATCAGTGGATTAAAATTAACAAGAAAGAGTTTTCACTCAAACGTTTAAGGAAGAAATATCAAATTACAAAAACTCTTCCAAAAAAGAAAAGAAGGAATACTTCCTAACTTGTTTGGCATCACCTTGATACCAAGCTTGACAAGAAAATTAGATGCTGATCTCTCATGAACATAAATGAAAAAAATCTTAACAAAAATTATGGATAAAAAAATACTGCCAAGTTGAATTTATTTCAGGAATGAGAGATTGGTTTAACATTCCAAAATCAATCAATGGGAGTAAAGATAAACACCAATAGAATAAAAATTAAAAATTATATAATTATTTCTCTCCATAGATACAGAAAAATTACTTGATAAAATTAATATATTTTCATTATTTTAAGAACAAAAAACCCTTTTAGCAACTTAGGAATAGAAAAGAATTTCCTTAACCTAATAAAAATAGCTTCAAGATATCTAAAGCAAACAATCCACTTAATGGTAAATACTGAAAGATATCCTCAAGATTGGAAATGATGAGACAAGGATGTCCCCATCATCTCTTCTGTTCAACATTACACTGAAGTACTAGCCTGATAAAAAGAGAAGGGAAACAAATAAAAGTATGAGGATTGGAAAGAAAGAAAACCACCATTATTTATAGATGACATAATTATATTTAGAAAATCCAAAAGAATTTATGAGGGTTATTGGATATATGATCAATATATAAGAATCAATTATATCTCTCTATACAAACAACAAACCATATGCTATATTTTAAAAATTTTAATCTCTAATGAAATGAAAAGAAACCATTGATATTAGCATCAACTACCTAGGACTCAGTATAACACAAAATGTATAAGACCTCTACACAGAAAACTGTAAAATATTAGAATAAATGGAGGAACATACCACGACCATGATTATAAGACTCAATATTGTAAAGATATCAGTTCTCCCTGAATTAATTTACAGATCCCACATATCAAAATTCCATCACACTTTTTGGTGTAAATTGGCAAACTAATTCTAAAATTTAAATGAAATGTAGAGGGCCAAGAAAAGTCAAGACAAACTTGAAGAAGAAGCAACACAGTTGGATGATATATACTTTTTGATATCAATCAAGACTTACTTTAAAGTTACAGGAATTAAGAGAGTGTTGTATTAACATGAGGGCATATGAAGGGACCAACAGAACATAAAAGAAAATCCAGAGACATGTCCACACATATATAGATAGGTCTTTGATATATGACCCTGCATAGCAGTAGGAAAATGAAGGTATTTTTATTTATTTATTTATTTAATCATCACCGAAGGATATTTTTTTCCATTGATTTTTTTAGAGAGAGTGGAAGGGAGAGGGAGAAACAGAGAGAAACACCTATGTGAGAGAGACACATCAATTGGTTGCCTCTGGCATGCCCCCGATCAGGGCCAGGTGGCTCCCGAGATACGTGCCCTTGACCAGAATTGAAACCCAGGACCCTTCAGTTTGCAGGCTGACACTCTATGCACTAAGTCAAACCAGCTAGGGTTACAGTATTTTTAATAAATGGTTCTGGGTCAATTGGATGGCCACCTAGAAAAAAAAAATCTTGACCTTATATCATACACAAAAATCAATTCTACGTAGACTATAGATCTAAACATAAAAGGTAAAAAGGTAAAGCTTGAAGATAAATTGGAGAATATACTCATGGCCTTAGAATAGGCAAAAGTTTTTTAAACAGATTACAAAAAGGTCTAACCATAAAGAAAAATATTGATAAATTGGGTTATATTAAAGTTAAGAACTTCTGCCCTAGCCAGTTTGGCTCAGTGGATAGATCTTTGGCCTGTGGACTGAAGGGTCCGGGTTCAATTCTGGTCAGGGGCATATGCCTGGGTTGTGGACTCAATCCCCAGTCAGGGGAATGCAAGAGGCAGCCAATCAATGATTCTCTCATCATTGATGTTTCTATCTCTCTATTCTTCTCCCTCTCTGAAATCAATAAAAATATATTTTAAAAAAAGATTTAAAATAATAAAGTTAAGAACTCCTATTCATCAGAATATACCATTAAGAGAATTTTTAAAAATCAGAATGGGAGAAGATATTTGCAGTGCATGTATCTGACAAAGGATTCATATTCAGTACATACCAACAATTTCTATAAATCAATAAGAAAAAGAGCCAATACAAAAATAGGAAAGAAAGTTTAATAGGCACTTCACAAAAGAGACTAGCCAATAGCCAATAAACATATAAGTTAACTTCATTAGCCATCAGGGAAATGAAAAATAAAGCAATGAGGTATCACCATACAGTTAAAATTTTAAAAGCCTGATAATATCAACTGTTGAGCATGTGGAAATATCTGGAACTCTTGTGCACTGTTGGTGAGAAAGTCAATTCGTGTTTGTCAACAGTATCTACTAATGCTGAAATCTAAGAATTAAAAATGCATTGACACATAGCATCTGGGCCTTTTGTTTAAGAACAAGTGTAGGATCTGTAGGTTTAATAAACACAATAGCCATAGATTTAATTTTTGTATTTTAAACATTAAATAAAGATTCTGTCACCTTAAAACACAAATCAGCACTCATTCACAGGAATTCAAGTTCATGACTGCCTATAATATGTAATCCAGACTCCTGACTGCAGTCTGGCATTTTGCAAACAATCAGGGTTTACCTAGGAATATCTTTGGTTTAATACAATCTGTCATCCCTACCGGGATGGTGCAAAGCCCGTAGAATTGATTTTTGTGTATGATGTAATGTAAGGTCACTGGGGTCATCCCCATGCCCACATGAGAGCATCATATAAAGATGTAGAGCCGGTAATCTGAGTATAGCGAGGTCAAATGAGACAAGACGGGCAAATCCCTTAATCCCCTCATCTCCACGGTAAACTCACTCTTGTCAGTATCTTACTTTTGTAAGACTCAGAAGACTGTCTCCCAGCACACTGGAGTGACTCTATGCTACAGGATCAGAAAGGTCCCAGTGTGATCAGTAAATTATATGCCCCAACACCCTGTTCTTACAGGGGACTGTGAGGTACAGGGCATTGCAGGAAACACAGGAAAGTTAGCAAATGTTGGCATTCTCAGGTTTATCATTCACATTTCCAGCTATCATTAGAATTTTGAGCCATGGGGAAGAACCTCAATTTTATTGACACCCAAGTGGGAACTGCCGCAGGTCCAATGGGCAGGTACAGGGCCACTGTCATCCTCCCTTACCTCTGGCCCAGCATCTGTATCAATAGGTATTCTCTATTCAGTTCTATATTTGCTTCTGGAGTAATTGAAGAGTTTGAGGATTCTGCAAATACATCTCTTAAGAACAGCAAGGGCCAGATTGTAATCTAGTTAGAACATATTCTAAAGTGACGGTCACCTCTGCTAAATACAAAATGAGAAGTACAGACTATTAAGTGATGATGTTCTTCAGAGGAAAGTGAGTATTCTAGTCCTTTCGGGCTGGGGAAGCTTCAGGAAAGATGGGACTTGACCTGGACCCTGGAGGGTGGGGGGACAGTCTATGAACAGGGTAAAGGTGGGGTGGAGAGCGTAACTCCAGGGAGGGGACAACGTGAGCCAGGGAGCAGAGGCAGGGAGAGTGAGGGGGGACAAGCAGCTTGACGGAAGTAGATAGTGTTTGCTGGGAAGCAGTCACAGTAAGATTGAAAGGGAGATTGGGGTGGAGCTGGGCGGGCCCTGAACTTTAGGCTAAAGCTGACTCCATTCAGTAGACAGTGGAGAGAGCTCTGAAGGGGCCTAAAGGGGTGCGGTGAGGGTGGGGAGTGGGACGTTAGGAATGCCAGTCTGTGATGCTTCAGCAAACAGCATTCTACACCATCTCTCCAATGGTCTGTGTCCATTTGGCTGTGACTGAGCTTGAGGGCAAGGGGCAGGGTGGGTGGGGGTTATAGTAATCAGTCTACAGGGAGCCCAGGCAATGACATTAGTATTATGTTTAAAGGTCTCCATTATACTCTCTAAATGACTTCATCCTTGCCCATAACATCAATAATCTATGTGCCAATGGCTCACATGTGAAATTCTCCAGTTCTCTTCTGAGAAGAAACTCAAAAGCACAACTGCCTACAAGGCATCTCCTCCAAGATGTCTCCAGGGTGCCTCAAACCCAACATATCCAAAGTGAACTCCTGATTTTCCCTCCCCCAAACTGTTCTTCCTCCCCCAGGACTCTCTCACTTGGACCATTAGTGTCCATGTATCCTCTTATGCCCTATTATTGTAATTGTGTTCCACACACTGGACAAAACTGATCATTTCAAAGCAGCAAACTAAGCATTCCTAAAAGCTTCCAATTTCCACTGCTCTCAGAATCAAACTCAACCCCCCAACAAGGGCTTCCAAAGCCATGCAGAGCCTGGCCCCTCCCCGCTCACCTCTAGCTATGTTGACCTTCAGTCTCTTTAGTCTCTTGGTCTAGCACAGGGCTCTTGCATAGGCTATTCCAGATACTTGCTATGTTCTTCCTTGTCTCTGCCCAACTAGTTAATAGCTGTTCATTTTTCAGAGCCCAGCTGAAACATCATTCTTCAAAAAAGCTTTCCCTGACCCCCAAACTTGGATAGGTTCACCTAGTATGGTGGCTTTCAACTTTTTTTTTTAACTGTGACCCACAGGATAAAATATATTTGACTTTGTGACAGCATATACATATGTAAACTGAATGAAATTTCTTACCCTTATTATATATTTTCTTTATTTCATCTAAATGCATTACAGAACACTCAGTTTGAGAAGAAAAAAAAAAAGGCCTAATCTTATAGAACCATATCTGTCCTTCAAAGCACTCAGCACATTTTTTATGATTATTGGATTATGTCTATCTCCCTCAAAAGGTGTGTTAGGGTGTATTTGGTATTTTGCCCATTGTGATAGCCCTTGTATTTGACAAATTATCTGAGCCTCAATAGTCACTTAGTAAATATTTGAATGAAAAATATAAATTGGTAAGCACTTTTAGCACTTACAATTGTAACTGACTCTAATTATCTGAACAGTCATTAAACTTCTCTAACTCCAGGATGGCAGGAATCCTGTTTGCTCCTTTTTATGTTTGTAGCATTTAACATCATACCTGGAAAATGGTAAATCAAAATAATTTCCCAAGTATATGGTTCAAATCCAGGTATCTAGATTCTGTCAAGCACGAGTTAATAAAGTTGAGAAATGTCCCGTTCTGTATAGTTATGCACTTCAACACCAATCACCTCAAAAACTTGCAATCTTTGCTTCAGAGACTAGAAGAAATGCAGCTTATTCCAAAAGTAAACAGTTAATTATTCAGAAATAGCTTATTGGTTACAAGCATTAAAAAAAAAGATTAAGTTGGAAATGCCTCATATAATCTCTAGCCCTGACTATATACCACTGCTAATACTTTACAGCATTCACAT